CTGACTGCTGCGGGAGCCGACTATCAGAATACAATAGCAAGTGGGGGAGAATCCCCAATTCATGCCATTTAGCATGGGTGGGGAAATTGAGCCACTGTGGAGGCTGAACAAGAAAAAAAAATACAGCAAATCAAGATGGCAAATGATTTATCAGAACTTTTTCATGCAAATATTGGTGACCTGCAGAAAATCAAGCAATTCAGAAAGACAGGCAATTGTTATTCATGGTTTGTCTGAGCCTAGGCAGGCTGGACAAGCCAGCATAAAGATATTTAGGTATAAACCTCTGTCTATTGATAAAGCTCAGTAGTGCGCTTTTCAAATGTGCTTAGCGCTCCGCTTGCTTCAGGACTCCGAGCAAGTGGAGTGATATTAAAATGAATGGAAGGGGCAGGGCAAAAAAAAAGCCAGGAGGAGAGCCGTCAAAGTCATGAGTCTCTCCTCCAATCACAGAGTTCTCTGTTCTGTGTTAAGCAGAGAGAACTGCATGACACGCCGCTGCCTGCACTATTTGAATAGTGACCCAATTAAAGTATCATTAGGGTGTAATGACCTAAAATGTAGGCCTATAAAAAAGCCTTAAAAGAGAACTATGGGGTAAGTGTTTTTCCCCATAGTTCTCTTTAGGGTCACAGGAGGACATATACTTAACTCCTCCCGTGACCCAAAGCTCAGTATATAGCTGGCTATTGCTGAGAGCGCCACAGCCGGGATGGATCCTGACAATACTGTTGAGATCCGTGAGTGACAGCTAGCTCTGCCTATCTAGAGGCAGAGCTAGCTGTGCCCGTCCCCTCCCCATCCGTTCCTCCACTCAGCGCTGGAGGATTGGAGAGGGGAGGGGGGAATCCCTCCAGGGAGGCGATCGGGAAGTGAGCGGATGGGCTGCATGTTTCTGCTCACTTCCCGATCAATAGAGCCGACCTGTGACCGCTTCTTTGTCACAGGTCGGCTCTAACTTAGGATGAGTGGAAACAACTCTCCTCATAGTTCCCCTTTAAATAAGTCACTTACTTGGACACACCGAGAAGCAGCAAGTAAAACCGGTCTGCATTTGATAACTTGGAAATATCTTCTTTGAATCCTTTTAGGTTTTCCACCTGTGAGTGAGAGAAATTGATTTAAAAAAATGGAACATAGAGATGGAAATAGAGATATATTTCCACCTCTGGACATTTTATGCCTTAAAAGGATATCTAAAACTAAAAATGTTATATATATATTGTAGCTTTCCAGTCCTTAGATGTGGTGGCTGCATTAGTTTTCTTTTTATCAGGCTTAGAGCATTTTCAGCAGGTACAGAAAATACCTTTTGATCCCACCAGAAATGCAGTGTTCTTTCATTTCCTGTGAGCTTAATAGAGAACAAAACAATTGTATCTTTCTTGTGTAAAAAAAATAATCCCATTGAGCAAAAATGTGAAGGAGGAAAACAAAGACGGACGTGTTAAAGTCCAGCCTGTGACAACCATGGCTGCCTCCATAGACACAGTAGAAGAGAGAATGTAGCCACCCAGAGACAGTAAGGGGTTGGTTTATTTTAAAAAAAATTTAAAAAATGCATAGCTATTTGTCCATCGAAGCTGCAGGTACATTCATTCTGTGCAAATTACCCAGCTGTTGCGAGAACAAGGCAAAATCAAATGTTCTTAGTGCATCTTCTGTTTTGGTTGAATGTTCTTTTGAGATTCCCCATAGTAGCAATGGTTACATTTATCTGCTTATTCCCTCCAGCGTTCTCTAGAATGGTTACATTGTATCTCTTGCTACTAACATGTATTTATTTCTTATGATCCTCAGTGGCTCTAGTGGCCATAATGCGGTATGCTCATATTTGAAGAACATTGGACCGAGAGGAGAAAATAAGAACATTAAATTTTGCCACATTCTCACAATAGCCGGTTAATTTGCACAGAACAAATGCAGTTTGACTTTGGCTGGTGTCCTGGCAACCAGTGACATCAGTGAGCTGGGCTGAACTCCAGACAGAGCCACCGGACCCAGAAGTAGCACCAACACCACCGCAGTAATGAGTATCCACCACCCCTCCCTGGTTATAGGCATCCACCACAAGCACCTCCAAATTGAACATCCACTGCCAGCACATAGGTGCGCCCGCCCCAGTAACCAGCATCAGTCTTAAGCACCCCAACCCATTTATGAGTATCCACCGCGGCAGGCAGCAAATAGCATAGGGGCAGCCCTGTTTATGCCTAATGCAGATCACTGGGTGTTGGGCTCATTTTGGGGCAGTATTAGCAATTGCTCAGGAAAGAAAACAGTGATGACTAGACCTCATACCCAGCACCATTCATTATGTTGTACTGTAATGTTTTTTTTGTGATGAAACCAATAAAAAAAAACTCATGAAAAAAAAAGAAAACAGTGATGTCATCTTCTGTCCATAAGGTACCAGAAGACATCTGTCCAATTATCTAAAACAACCTTTGTCAACCAACCCTTGAAAAACAATTATGCCCACAGTTCATGGTACATCAGCATGATGAATAAGTTATAGAATATGTAGAAAGTGGAAAGACTGATCTATGATGACAAGCAATCACCACGACCTTAAAAAACAATGTAGTAATGGTAACCCATGACATTTACTTCATGTTTTTCAGGAAGCAGCTTGAGGAATTGCTTTAGTACTTCAATATCGAACTTCGAGCGATCTCCCTTCTCAATCAGGGAAACAACGTCTTCATTGGGGCTAAAAAAATAAAATAAAAAGGAACAGCAAATGTATAAAATGATGTGTTGACTTGAAAACTCTCTTTTAAACATACATGAAAAGCAGAAACTGATGCAGCTCTATGTGCGTAAATGGTATGGAAAATACTGGACTGTGTCTGCTCTATCCTTAATCCTTCCAGGTTAGAATGTCACTATAAAAATCTATTAGACATGTCTGGTCAGAAACTGTAGCATGAAATGGCCAGAATGGACAATCCACAACTAATTTAAAAGTTATGTGTAAAAAATAAAATCAAGGCAACAGGATTTGCTGTATTTTTTGAAATTCCGCTGGGCATCTGTCTAGCTTTCACAATTGGACTTTTGAATTCACTTCTGAATTGAGAAAGCTGGTCGGATGACCAACGAAAAGTCTTCAAGAAAAATACAGCAAATCCAGTTGCTGTGATTTATTTTTTACAGATATACGATGACCTGGATGAATGAGAACCTTCACAGACAATTTCAAAGTTACTTGTACAGAGAGAAATATAGAAGCTTCCACCTTTGACCTCTGCTGAAATTTCTAGTTGCCTGGTTGGCTTCAATACTTTTAATTACTGACCGTAATGTAATGGTGCCCCATAGAAAACCATTAAAGGCCCCTCCGCTACTCTACTCTTCATCTCAAAGGCTATCCCTCTAGGACAGGGGAGGGGGGGGGGTAGGCAAATTCCGGCTCTCCAGCCGTGTTGCAACTACAAATCCCATAAGGCATTGTAACACTGACAGCCAACGGTTTTACTTCCAGAAGCAGATGCTGATGGGATTTTTAGTTTCATCACAGCTGGAGGGCCAGATTGCCCACCCCTGCTCTAGGAGGTTCCCCGACTAAACATTCCTTTACTTTATCCATGTTTTACAAAATGCTGTTGCCTACTGTATAGCCAGGCAGCACTGGGTTCACATAGCAATTGCATGGCTGCCATGGCTAGAATAACACCGTTGAATACTGACATGCAGCAAGTCATTTAAAGAGGTCTTGATCTGTTTTTTTTTCCCCAGCTCCGACTCCTTATACATTACATCAAATGTATCCCGATTACAGCCAGGTACTTAGCATTTTATAGCTTCTCTCTGAGATTGCTGTCCATGTCAGTATCTGGGTGACATAAGACACTTATTGGCTATTCAGTGGTGGGGTCCTCTCTAGAACAGCCTCTCTCAACTAGAGTGCCTTCTGGCTTTTTGAGGGGTGCCTCAAAATCTTCCGGAACCAACCCAACACTTGCCATCTAATATGCAGCCACGGCTCCCGATATGATGATAGGATTCAGAAGGAGGGGACTGAGGACTCTCATGTGAAGGGGGAATTCTGACGTAAAAGGGGTTCCTGATTTAAGGGAGAGGACTTCGATGTAAAGGGGCAGGACTCCCTACTTTTTTTTGGTTTTGTATAGGGTCGTCCTTTTAAAATCCATTAAATTTTAGACTGGGGTGCCTTGAGATTTTGCATACTTTTAAAGAGTACTGTGCCTGAAAAAAGGTTGAGGAACGCGGCTCTAGAAGACTGTACAGCATGAAGCAGTTGGGATGAGGGGGACCGGTTGAATATTCAACTTTTGTCGAAGGAGCTAGAGGAACATTGTTTGGCCAACAGGGACTGCAGTAAAGCAAATGCAGTCTTTTTTCAGGTACCCAACAGGGATGGGCAACGGCTGTCAGAATACAATAGCATTGGGCACGGGGAGATTCGCCCGCTGGTGCTGTTTAGCATTGGTGTAGAAATCTAAGAGTATGGACAGCTTTAGGCAAGTAGAAAAAAATTATTCAGAAGGTATTTTTTACCCCTTTGAATGGGTATGGGTGTGTGGTGTGTGGTGTGTGTGTGTGTCATTTCAAACATTCTTTGACTACAGTCAGATTTGTGTACACTTGAATCTTTTTATTACACTGAATCTATAAAGCTTACCTTTTAAATTGCTTCAAAAATATGTTCAAATTCAGATTCTTTTTGGCATCCAAAAAGGAAATCTGTAGAAATAAAATGCGTAGAGAGATGAGAAACTTCTTTGCACTTCTTTGCACTGCATACTTTGGAAGTGGTTGTGGGTTACACTAGAAATTGTACCTCCTTAGGTGGCTTTCTGATTAACGTGGATTGTGCATCTTTTTCTTTGGCTTGTGGAAGGCAGAAGAGCTGCTCAATGCTGGAATAATTTGGTTCCATAGTTTCTTCACAAGTGCCAACTGAAGACCACATGGACTGTCCATCTAAAAGAGAGATGCAGAAAATTACAATAGTGTTTAACAAACAATCAGAAACCATCTTTCACTGGTCTGTCTGCTTTAGGTTGCTAAAAGATTACAACTGATTGGTTGGTTAAGTGTCACTGGTTATTTGGCATAATGTCTTATGAGGTGTGCAGGCACAATTTGATGGCCCTTCTCTCTCTGTGCCGGCCAGCTGATAATTATGTGGAGTTTCATACAGTTCCACATAATTATCTCATAAAAATGTGAACAGGCCAACATTGTTGGAAGATGGTCAAAGCAGTGGAAACGTCAGCTCAATGTTTCTAAATGCAAAATAATGCACTTGGGGGGAAAAAAGAATCTTCTTATTGGAGTACAATATTGGGGGTACAGCATTGTCCAGAACTACAAAGCAAAAGTATCTGGGGTGCTTATTTCAAATGACAGCAAAATTAGCAAACAGTGTGGCCTGGCAGTGGCAAAAGCAAATAGAATTTTGGGGTACCTCACTAGAGGGATCACCAGCATGAGGAAGGAGGTCCTGAACCCCCTATATAGCTTCTTAGTTATCAGGAGAGGGATCCCCAGTATGAGAAAGGAGGTCCTGATCCCGCTATGCAGATCGTTAGATAGACCTCATTTAGAATACTGTGTCCAGTTCTGGAGACTGGAGGCCTCACTTATGACGAAATATTGATAAAACAGAACAAGTCCAGAGACGGGTCTGAGGGATAAAACATATTAGAAGAGACTGCAGGAATGTAATACGTACAATGTTGAGCAAGGAAAGAAGGGAAAGCGAGAACATGACTAAGGGGCCCATTCACACCACATGCAGATAATCTCCAGACCAGAGTGTTTCTGGACCAAAAATGCATCCTAATGTATCTCTATGCTATTTCTGGCCTCTATTCACACCAGCGCAGTCCGTTCCAGACCAGACCAGACAAATACTGCATGTCTCGTTTTATCTAGTCAGGAATGCACTGGAATGCATAGAAACGCATCAAAAACGCACCGGAACTTAACTAAAAGCCCATTTTAAGCCCCCCCCAAAGCTCCGGAACTCGGCAAAACCACGGTAAAATAGTGGTAGAACGCAGTAAATATGCAGAAAAAAAAATGCAATTCACTGCATTCCAGATCTGGTCCGGAAAATGGTGTGAACCTTCCCTAAGGGTGTAAATAAGGTTCAGGAGGGCAGTATTTTCAATATGAAGCTAAAATCAAGAACACAGGAACATGACCTCAAAAGCAGCAGGTGGAAAGATCAAAACTAACCCTAGAAAGTATTACTTTACAGAAAGAGTAATTAATGTTTGGTATAGACTTCCAGAAGAGATAGTGAGTCAGCGAGCAGGAAGTGAATTTGAACACTGCTTGGGACAAACATAGATCTATATTTAGAAAAGAAGGTTAAAAAAAAAGCACACAAAAAAGGGGCAAACTCGAAGGACCGCTTGGCTTTTTTCTGCCATCATTTTTATACATTTATATGTATTAAAGAATACAGAGCAGCTGTAATTTGTGTCTTTTCTTTTTGCTTGGAGCTCCACTTTAAAACTGCCTGATCAATATTCAACCAGCTGCAGGGTCTATTGGTGTCCTCTAGATCCTTGGTTCTCAACTGGTGGGTCATGACCCCATGTTCAGTGGGTCGCCACGTGCCTTCCACTTTGCTCGGTGAGAGGCTTCTCAGCCTCCCCCTAGCTCAGCACTGTCAGTTCTCGCACCAAGCAGCCATTCAAAATATGCTGCCCGGTGCCGAATTTCAGCTTGAGGTGGGGTGGGCTGGAGCTATGGCCGCAAAGGGAGCTCCATCGATACCTGCATTGCTTACAGCTACCTCGCATCGGAGTGATGTCACATTCTGGCTCCCGGCACCTCTTCAGGGCATGCAAGGGAGTTGTACAAGCAATGCACATTTGGATGGTGCTCCGTCACAGCAGCCCACACTGGACCCCAGACTGAGGATCCACTCCAGTTCTCGTAAGGTATGAAGAACAGGTAGATCTTTAGTGTGCGTGTGAGATTGTGTCTGTGGTTGTGTGTGTCTGTCAGTGTTTTTGAGGGCCCATTCACATTGGTACGGTGCGGTAATCGAACAGTCCTGTGCAATTAACGCTCTGTACCATGCAATCGCACCGTGTTCTGGTGCGGGAGGTGCATTGCCATTCATTTGAATGACACCCCAAACGCACCTCTTGCCCACAGTTGAATCTCCGCACCGTAATGCGCGGTACCGCAATACCGTGTGTTCCATTGCAGTGCGACTTGGGTCGTGACTTAATGACCAAGGACAAATGTGGGTCCTGAGGTTACACAGGTGGAGAACCACTGCTCTAGATAATATTGTTGTCCAAGTTTGGCTCAAAGCAGCCAGATTATGGGATGGTCATTTAAGGTCTTTGTACCCCTTTCACACTGTCTCAGCACATGGACCCAACTGTGCCCTGCAATGGATTACAGACTACTTTAGCTTGAAGAGGCAATCAGGGTTTAGTATTCCATAATTGCACAGCTCCATAACAATAACAAAAATAACTCCTAAGTAGCCCTGATGGTTAGAGAGCTTTATTCTTTAACCAGACAGTGATCATTCTTAAAGTGTATGTCAAGCATTTTTATTTATACTTCTGTTACTGTTGGAAAGTTTCCCTCACTTCCTGTGAAATTGAAATTCTGGAACTTATTAAATGGTCTTACCTTTGGCAACATTAGGATTCAATTTCTGCCAGTTTAGTTTCTTCATTTTTATCGATGGCTTGTTGACCTTGAAGCGAGCTGGTTTGAAGGAACCCAAAGAGTAATCCACACGTGTAGCTACAACCTCTTCACCGAATCCTCCTGGAAATGGCGGTGGTGGTGGCATGCCTCCCATGCCAGGAAATGGGGGAGGCGGTGGTGGCATGCCTCCCATGCCAGGAAATGGGGGAGGCGGAGGTGGCATGCCTCCCATGCCAGGAAATGGGGGAGGCGGTGGTGGTGGGAAGCCACCCATGCCAGGAAATGGGGGAGGCGGTGGTGGTGGGAAGCCACCCATGCCAGGAAACGGGGGAGGCGGGGGGGGTGGGAAGGCACCCCGGAAATGGGGGGGGCGGTGGTGGTGGGAAGCCACCCATGCCAGGAAACGGGGGAGGCGGTGGTGGTGGGAAGCCACCCATGCCAGGAAATGGGGGAGGTGGTGGTGGTGGGGTGGCTACTATGCCTGGAAGAGGGAGAGGTGGTGGAATGCCAGGAAGTGAAGGAGGTGCAAAGCCTTCTGTGCCATGTAAAGGAAGAGGAGGAGGTGGTGGTGAAATACCTTCCATGTCAGGCAAGGGAGGAGGAGGTGGAGGAGTTACTCCTACTCCTGGGAGTGGAGGAGGTGGAGAAGGAAATGAGTTCATGCCAGGGAAAGGAGATGGCATCTCACATGGGGGAGGAGGGGGTGGTGGAGGTGGAGTAGACTTTACATCAGGACCAAGGAATGAACTTCCAAGTGAAGGAATTTGGGAAGAAGTCTTCCCAACCGGTACCTTCTGAACATCTACTGAGGGTTCAAGCAATGCATCAGCTAGAGATAGGCTGTTCCTTTCTTCTTTGCTGGATTCATAGGTAGGTTTGTCTGTTTGTATGCTTACATTAACTTTATTAACATTTTTGTCTTGACTTTTCTGTTTGCTTAGCTGTTTTTTGGATGTTAAGAGCCTATCCATAACGCCCTCAAGTGTATTATCTTTACCTGCAAGACAAAAAAAAAAGTGATATTTTGTGGTAGACACTGACAGCACATCATTGCTTTGTCATGTCACTGCCCCAATTACAACCGAGTAGGTCAAACAGCAGTGTGTTTTGTGTTCAGGAAACACAAAACACAAAGCTCCATTTATTCAAATATTGACATTGAAACATTGTAAAGCTGATGGTCTTAATGATACGTACAGTCATCTGCAAGCAGTACAGCTCTGTTCACTAGGAGCTCCAGGGCCTCCCAGAGAAGGGCACTTGAAGGATCATTGACATCGAACTGCAAAAGGCCCTGCAGAATAAAGAGAAGCTGGGCCGATAGTGGTGAACAACTGACCTGAAAGATACAAAAACATAAAAAAAAATAGGATGGATTGTACAATACCGAACAATATAACAAAGATAAACTGCATTTAATTAAAGCAATGGTACTTGTGGCCTAGCAACCCCTTCTGCCTATTGAATAAAATAATCCCGGGAGCCAACAGTATTAATAGAACCAGGGGAAAGAAGTTAAAATGAAATGTACACTCCCTAACAATACACTTAGAACAAGCTGTAAAAGGAAATGGGGCACCCTGAAAAAAAAAAAGACCGTTTCGGTAAATTTTTTGTGGCCTGTTGGATCACTTTGCCTCTCACCAATCAATTGCAGATTTAAGGTGCCCATACACCTTACAATTTATCTGCAGATTTTCTGTGGTCAGATGGAAAAAGTGCAACAGATTGGCTCAGGTGGAGATTACTCCATCCACACTGTTAAGTGTAGATGGAGGAATCTGTTGCGCCTTTTCCATCTGACCACAGACAATCTGCAGATAAATTGTAAGGTGTATGGGCAGCTTTAAACACAAAATACAATTTACATGAAACTGTTCAATTTGGCAAAAGTGTATTCTGGATCACAGCCTTGGACCTCAGACAACAGGGTAGAGACAGCAGAGATGTCCACATATGGACTGATTACGGCAGACTATTAGGGCATTTTACACCTATCTGGCTAAAAAACAAAATAGCGATTGTTCGGATAAGATACTGGTTCACCAGATGAGAACTACAGATGGAAAATGCTTGCATTCGCCCGCATGAAGTTGATGTGCTTTTTCGTGTTTTCTCCAGGTGCAACCCACCTTTCAAATCACTGATCTTTAGTTCACTGATGACCCAACTTGTATGACAAAGTTGGGCCAAAATCTAGTCAAATAACCCTCAGGGCCCAGTCACACCACACCCAGATTACCTCCAGACCAGACCAGATTGTTTTCAGACCCAACTGCATCCTAATGTATCCCTATGCGATTTCTGGGCTCTGTTTACACCATCGCAGTCCATTCCAGACCAGAAAAATACTGCATGTCTCATTTTGTCTGGTCTGGAACGCACCATGACACCCTTGAACACTTCAAAAAACGCAACAAAAACACACTGGAACGGAACCAAACTAAATTAAACAAAAAAAACAGCTTTTGGCCAGCTTGGATGATATCATCACTATTGGACTTCCTGTGCTGAGGAGAGGAGAATTTGCATGAGAAAGGAATAATGACGGCTGAAGTAGATACAGAATATTTTGCGGAACTTGTAGAGCGTTACCATGAACTGTATGACCCAAAGCAAAGGTCCGCATATAAAGTCCAAAATTGACCCTTTGATTCCCTTAACCTCAGGAGCAGGTGCACCCAAAAATGATGTCTCCTGCGAGCACGTTCTCGGAGGATTGCTGTAGCCAACACTAACATCATGCCTGCATATAGGCGACACATGTCTGCTCCCCACCTTTCCACACACAAACAAAGGGAAGTGCTTAGAGGCAGAAAGAAGTGACCTTGGATCATTATTAGTATACTGACACCCCCCCCCCCAAAAAAAATGGAACGCACTGGAACGCACCAAAAACGCACTACACCACGCTCCAGATCTGCTCCAGTTTTGGTCCAGAAAATGGTGTGAACCCAGCCATATAACAGGATTTTGAAGAAATAGATCAGAAGAAGGCTCATTCAGGCAAATTGTATGCTTCCACCAGCAGCCAGATTAAAGTTAGTATATTATTGTTTTGGCATCTTCCAATATGTCCTCTTGGATAGTTATTACAGCCCTCAGCTTTGCCACTATCTGCCTTACCATGTGGCTGGTCGGTCTAGCTCCAGTCAGTCCAAGAGTTGCATGGTATAGAGGAAGAAGTAGGGGAGCATTTTTTTATTTGAAATGTCCTAAAAGGGTCAGGGTAATGCATACACCTGAAATAAGTTCACGGACAATTCCAGCCAAAACCCCCCACAGATAACGCACACATGTAGGAAAGGTTTGGTTTGTAAAGCAATGTCCATACTCATTGACATCCACTGTGCAATATGGCTACAGAGCAAAATTCTAATGGGTTGGGCCATTACCACCCTCCTGTCTAGAATATGGGATGTTAATTAACATCACACTGATGACATCTACTCTGAGCTCCCCCAGGCATCAGCTGACAGAGCAAACACACTGCAAGCCTGATCTCCACTTTCCATGTAACAGCTGGTCATAACACTAGCAGAACTGAAAAATAATTGTATAACTTTATTATTATGTTTATGTCTTTGCCGGAGCTGCATTTTGGAACATACTTTGTTGAAGAGTGTAGAGAACACCTCCTGATGATTGTTCATATCAATTCCTCCATATAGCTTGAGAAGGTCTTCATCATCTTCTGACTTGGCTTCTTCAAAGACACAGGCCTGTACTAACAAGTCTACATCCTCCAAATCCCTGAACGACAAAGGAGAGGAGTCTAAGATTAGGAAACATCAATAACAGTTGTGGTACAAGTGACCTCTGACCAGATATGAGTGTATTGGTTGGTTGAGTTTGCCTGTCTCTACATGCAGCGTGGGCTACTATGCCATTATTACAATGATAGAATCTGCTCACACAAAACTGATATGTTAGCTATAATGAATGCTACTGGGCACAATAGCTTTCACACAAAATCACAATAGCTTTTTGTTTCTCTCAGGGTGGCAACATTTTTAAGCTGTGTTCTCCGCAAAGCAAAATAATGGCCAAGGAGCTTTGGCCAAAACTGGAAATTTATCTTTATACCTGCGGTGAGTCCCGAGAGATACAAAAAGCCATGGAGTGATTCAGCTTGGCAGTCTCCATCAAGTATTGATACATTGGTTATGGGTAGATGGTCCATTTAAAGTGACTTATGTCAGTTTGAATTTACCAGTAGATTATTTCAGCCAATTCTTTTACTCAGTAGAAGTGCCAAGCAGCACAGAACAGAATCTAGTTGGGTGCTGAGTTATACATGTTGTCAGTCTTGTACATTAACCTGTAGCGACTATTGGGATCTCTAACATCTTAAATATCCTTCAGAAGCCCAAGGCCCAGAGCACTCATTCTATTAGGGCTCTCGCATGCCCCCGCTTGACATATAAATTCCAGCATATTTCTGCCGCCAGAAAGCCACATGTGCTACCTACAGCCACCAATGCGTACAACCGTGAGTGTAGACTGTCTGTACTCGGGGTTGTGTGCCCGTCTGTTATATTACGCAATTACAGCCATTGACTTTTACAGGTGCTATACGCAACACCTGTAACTTCCTGGTGGTGAAAATATGCCGCAAATTACATTATAATGCCACAGGGAGCCGTATGCAAGAGCCCTTAGGCAGCGACCACAGCCTCTATAGCCACACCTTGGCCTATCTCCTCTTGCCCCTTCCTACTGGCCACCAATGGGTGGCGTCACTGGCCAATAGGAAAGCACAAGTGAAGGAGGAGGCAGGCAGTCACATGGGACCAGTTTAATAGTTAAAAAAAAAAAAATCCACAAGTTTCCTCTATATTGAGACGGTTGTGATCCTTCACAAACTCTGAGTGGTGCCCTGTAGAAGAATTGGCTGAATACTTACATGTCGGGGGGCAGTTGAGGGGAATCTTATTTTGTTTAAGAAGTTACAGGCACTGCTGCTGCTGTTATCTGACGCTTCTGGGTGTGTTGGATAGTGTGTCCCCATTGGGAGTTCTGATTCCTTCCACCAATCTCCACATCACTACATTGTGCAGTAATGATGGTGGGTCAGCAGGAGCAACCGAAGTGTGCGGCTGGGGATACATTATCTGACACACCCTGAAATGTAGTATAGCAGCACCTGTAACTCTTAAAGTGAGTGAAGAATTTCCTCACCAGCCACGTACAGGGTGGCTTGAAGTTCATCACTTTCACAAAAAAAAAAAAGTTCACATTAATAAACGTATTTTGTATAATTGTTTACCTTAATTTTGTCAATATATCCAGCAGCTGAAGACCTGGAAAGTACAGACAGATTATTAGTGTCTTCTTTGGAATGGAAAGGAATTCTATACTACAACCACCAGCAAGTCCATCGCTAATCCCTCTCAGATATAGGAGACAAGATAGTTCTCTCTATATAACAGTATTACATTCATAGGAACGAAAGATGAACCTGGGCTTAGTGTGAACCCAATTTGTCGGAGTTCGCCTAAGCCCACTCAAAACTGTAAACAGTCATGTATAAGCCAGGTACACAATTTAATAATAGCCAGCCATGTATGGGGCAGTACCCCATTTAATAAGCCATGTAGAAGGCAGATAACACATTTAATAATAACCAGCCATGTATAAGGCAGGTGCCCTGTTTACTAATAACCAGCCATGTGCAAAGCAGGTACCCCATTTAACAATAACCAGCCATGTATAAAAGGCAAAAACTCCATTTAATATTAACCAGCCATATATAAAGCAGACACTCCATGTAATATTAACCAGCCATATATAAAGCAGACACTCCATTTAATATTAACCAGCCATATATAAAAGCAGACACCCCATTTAATAATAACCAGCCATATATAAAGCCCTATATAAAGCAGGCACCCCATTTAATAATAACCAGCTATATATAAAGCAGACACCCCATTTCATAATACCCAGCCATGTATAAGGCAGGCACCCCATTTAATAACCAGCCTTATATAAAGCAGGCACCCCATTTCATAATAACCAGCCATATATAAAGCAGGCACCCCACTTCACAATAGCCAGCCATGTATAAGGCAGGTACCCCACTTCACAATAGCCAGCCATGTATAAGGCAGGTACCCCACTTCACAATAGCCAGCCATGTATAAGGCAGGTACCCCACTTCACAATAGCCAGCCATGTATAAGGCAGGTACCCCACTTCACAATAGCCAGCCATGTATAAGTCAGGTACACCATATAATAACCAGCCATGTATAAGGCAGGTACCCCACATAATACCCAGCCATGTATAAGTCAGGTACCCCACTTCACAATAGCCAGCCATGTATCCCATATAATAACCAGCCATGTATAAGGCAGGTACCCCATATAATACCAGCCATGTATAAGGCAGGTACCACATTTAATAACCAGCCATGTATAAGGCGGGTACCCCATTTAATAATACCCAGCCATGTATAGTTACAAGTATTCACAGCAAAATAACTATCAATATAACAATGATTTGAATTCACAATGCATACACATCCCTGGATTCATCAACCAAAAGCAATGACCATAACATATCCATGATAACACAGAAACAATTGGCACACACTTTTCTCATACTATAGAACCAGCAGACCACATGCACCACAAAGATTCGCCGTTCAAGCCATCAGCACCCATACAACTGAGTTCACCTGAACTGAGGTTACAGATTGCAGACAGGATGTGACCTTTATGCTTTATGGGAAATGTTCTAATGCACTGGATGAATCTCTCAATGGCTTTACTCCATGGAACAGATCTCGATGACTTAATTCTCTGCAGCATGAAATGAACTTTTAAAGCAGAAAATGTTTTATTTTGCCGTTCAGCTCTGCTGGTGGTTTTCCCAGAGGAGAAGGTGAGATCCTGAGTTTGGTGCAGCAGGTGTTCATTAGGTGCACTGATTACCATGCCTGCATTTCAGTGTTACCCTCGCTCCTCCACTAGAGGGCAATGCCTGCTTTTTAATCAGCGCTGACCCAGGCTATGGGAATCTGGTGTAACTCTTTAAAGACAAAGGCGCTTCGTTTTGGTAAAAGTGCACATTGGGACATATTATTTTAGGGGACATATATTAATAATGCAGCAAATGGTCAATTTGCTGATCATTTGGTGCTTTTTTAAATGGCAAACTGCTCACCAAAAGATTCGCCAAATTTTAAAACGCATTCGTTGTCTGAACTCAGGAGCAGGATCACCCCCCAAATTCATCCAAAATCTGGATTAATATTAATTAATGGGAAATTCAGGTCACTGTAACTTTTGCCAAAATTATAATATGGCCAATGTTACACCCACCAAAATTATAATATGGCCAGTGTTTCATTCCCCAAAATTATAATATGGCATGCCGGCTTCAATGCATGTGTGTGTGTGTGTGCGTGCAGATGTGTTGTCTTAGTGCGTTGGGGTGTCATTAAAAATGATCCAAAGCACTTATTCCCACAACGCGTAGGTGCAAATTGCCCCTAAAGGTTCAGCCAGCACTCCCAAAACACCCATCTATACCACATCCAGATTGGAGCTGAAAAACGCTTAAAAAAAAAAAGAAATAGAGTCCAACTTTTTTTTGGTGTTAGTTCTCTTTTGGGTTGCAGGAGGACATTTACTTATGTCTTCCTGTGACCCAATGTCAGCATCAAGCGGGCTACCGCCTACTATAAGCTGACAGCGCAGAGCCGCGCTGCAGCTGGGAAATATGCCTGACTGACAGCTGGCTCTGCCTCTCTAGAGCTAGAGCCAGATGTGCCCACCCCCTCCCATGTCTCTTCCTCTAATAAGAACTGAAGAAACAGAGAGTGGAAAGGAAGAAATGCCTGTGGGGAGCAGTGACTGACTGTCACTGATCTCTACATGGAGAAGCTGTGAGCTGAGCGATCAGTGGTCTGTGATCGCTCAGTTCTCGATTCATCCTGTCTTTGATGCACAGTTGAAACCACAGCAATTGGCAATGCACCTGCTCCATGTGCAGTGTGTTGTGATACCCTTAATTGTAAATGCTACCCCAATGCATTGGGCACCATGACGCACATACTGTGCATCGTGATGTGCAGCGTTGCTAAAAAAGGGTCATGTATGTTACTTGATTTGTTGTGGTGCATTGCCAGCCCATTCATAATCAATAGGCTGCCGCAGTGCATATTAATGCACGACATTTGAACACAACAGATCCATAAAGAATAAACTAGAAAGTATCTCTCATTTAATATAACCTTGCAGCATCACTTGAGAAATTTATAATAATCCTGCAGCTCAGAGATGAGGGGTAACCTAAAGCCAGATAGATGCTGGCTAACACACTTGGATCTATTTATAAACAATATCTGTGAAAGTTCGCTATGTTGGAGTATATGCCAAAACTATTGTTATTTTTCTTTACAAGTGGAATGCATTTTAGAATGTTTTAATTTAATATCGAATTGTGGCCACTTGATGGGGCTAAAGTAGCTTTGGAAATAAGCATTTATTTGCTATTCTCCTCCTTGCCATCTAGTGGCCACAATGCAAAACTACATGACAAAAACATTTGAAAATACGTTCCCTTGCAAAGAAACAACTAAAAAAAATTCATTTTGACATATATCTGCACAGAATGAGGGGCGAATGACCCTGCAAATAACTGTTAAATAGACTCCACTCTCTGGCAGCTCCTAAGACTGTATTAAGCCCATGACACACTGCACGCAAAGCCGTGCAGAGCGAAGCAAAGCTGTCCGGCACAGAGCTTTGCGTCCAGTGTGTGAGCTGAGTGCAGGCAGATTGATTCACTGCACCTTCAGCCAATCAGCTTGTGCGTAACAACCGGTCAGACGTCACATCGTGATGCGCGGGTTTATTGGCTGAAGATGACATTTTTCATCTCGGCACGCTCAGCTATGCGAGTTCTCGCAAGCTGACGTGCCGGGGAGAAAATTACATGACACACTGCTCGCGAAGGCATTGTGCCACCACTCCGCTCTGCTTCACCTGCAGTGTGTCACAGCCTTTACAGTATCAATAAGCCGATCCCCCTTAGTTTTTTACATTCCTGTTGACTATAAAACTCACTGAGGAGCATACTCCGTAGCTGGAAGCCTGTGTGTGATGTCAAGCAGCTGACAGGCCATGTGACTTCTGACCACTGAGTTTATAAATGAAAAGTTTGACAGACAGAATAAGTAAAGCTAAGGGGCTCAATATAAATCTTTCCAGTATAAGCCTATATAGTTGTGATATGTTGTCCTATATAAAATTGTGACAGGTTCTGTTTAAGCTTTCTCTCAGCACCTCTCATAGTTTGTATTTCAGTAACAAATCCTTTGTGGTTTTCGTCTAATCTCACCTTAGTAGACATAGGCCTGGTATAGGATAACGTTACAGTATGCATCCCATACACTTCCCAATGAGGGGGAAAGCATGCACAATGATAATATATTGGCAGAATCATTACCGATAAATTCGTTCCTCAGCTGCACCCGAAGCCTCAGCTCTTCCGTGCCGAAAATGACGGCGTTGATGACGCTGAGCAGCGTGACCATGTAGGGAACATTATCTGTGGCTGAGAGCTCGCTCATGATGACACTAAATCGATATTGCTGGTTCTTCACAGCCTGTTAGTGGAAAGGAAATCTTCTGTGAAGCTCTATCATTATGTTACAGGACATTGCATACAACAGGAGATTATACTTTCATATTAGTTGAATACAAAATATTAATTAGGGCGGGCCTATATTGAAGAATTCTATGTCATTATATGTCTTGCTTTTCCTGATAGTGAAAAAATAACGCTGTCATAAACTTACCATTCTAGTCTGTTGGAGAAAGTTCCATGGTGTGTCATGGCTAGTTCCCGAAGTAAAGCTGGCCATACACTCTTATATTATATACTCTTATATCACATTGTTCTATTATTTTCGTTCAAACTGCGGGCCGAACGAAAAATAAAATAACAGATTACTCCATCCACGCTGAACAGCATGGATGGACGGATCTCCTGCTGTGAACTTTGTATTCTGACCACAGTGCCGGTCGCTGTCAGTATACCCAAACGGTATACTCGGCTGAGGAATTCCCAACATGTTCCTTTGGCAAAAGTCGATCTGATGATTGGGATGGGGACACTAACGGAATTCAATTTGGCTGATTCCTGCTGAATTGGCTCAAATTCGCTCCATGCGTACCTAGCTTAAGGGGAATAGCCCTCATTTTCATCGGTACAGGTGTACCCATTAGAACAGGGGTGGGCAATTCATTTCCTCAAGGGGCCACATGAGAAACTGGGACTTGTTGTGGAGGGCCAACACATTACTGTGAAAGTGCGTAGGTGCACACACACATACGTAAAGTGATAAAAAATATCTGGGGCAACTAATGTAGGGGGCACTCTGATGGATGCAACTCATACTTAGTTGTTCCCATCAGAGTGCCCTCTTACATTGGTTGTTCCCATCAGAGTGCCCCCTTACATTAATTGTTCCCATCAGAGTGCCCCTTACATTGGTTGTTCTCATCAGAATGTCCCCTTACATGAGGTGTCCCCATCAGAGTGCCCCCTTGCATTGGCTGTTCCCATCAGAGTGCCCCCTTACATTGGCTGTTCCCACCAAAGTTCCCGCCCTCGTTCATAATTCATGTAAGGTCCGCACTCTGATGGGGACAACCAATTTAAGGGGCACCCTGATTGGGATGACTAATTATTAGTTGTCCCCATTACAGTGCCCCCTTACCTTGTTTTTCCCCTTTAGAGTTCCCCTTTATATTATTGTCCCCACATACCTAATTTTCCTCCAGAGGCAGGAGCCAGGAAGTGGAGCAGGCAGCATCAGAGGATGGAAGAAGATCCTTTTCCATCTTTCTGTAATGCTGGGCCGGGAACACATTTGACATCACTGGTTGTTACGACCGCCCGGAGGCCCTGGAAAACAATGACTGCAGAGGAAGTGGACACCTGATGTCATTGGTTACTAGGACACCAGTGACCTAGCAACCAATGACTGCAGAGGAGGCGGACACCTGATGTTTTGGTTACTAGTACACCAGTGACCTAGCAACCAATGACTGCAGAGGAGGGGGACACCTGACGTCATTGGTTACTAGGACACCAGTGATCTAGCACCCAGTGACTGTAGAGGAGGTGGACACCTGACGTCATTGGTTACTAGAACACCACTGATCTAGCACCCAATGACTGTAGAGGAGGAGGACACCTGACATCATTGGTTGCTAGGACACCAGCGACCTAGCAACCAATAAATGCAGAGGAGGTGGACACCTAACATCAGTGGTTGTTAGGAAAGCTGGCATCCTAGCAATCAATGATGTCAGGTGTCCACCTCCTCTGCAGTCATCTGAAGAGGAGAGGGCCTGCGCTGGGCTATAGCTTGCAGTGGATGCATCAGCCTTGGAGGCCGGCACATCCACTATCACCCAGCCATAACCAAGCTCAGGTCAGAGATTGGTTCATGCCTGGACCTCAGGCTGGAGAGAGACATTCAAAGGGCCCGTTTGCCGTAAAATGCCCAGGTCTGCGCTAGAAGATTTTCCCCACTTTGTGGTGACATCTATAACATTTTGGATTTCCCAACACTCTGGGGCTGATTTATATTCTATTCACCCAACATCATAATATTATATGCAAAAATTCCACATCTGATTTCCATGGGCACCAGAGCAATATTCCCAAATTAATTAACAAGCAGCGAATGTCTCTGGCCAACCAATTACAATAAAAATGATAATTTTCCAAGCGGAGAAGTCACTCGGTATACGAGGGTGCTTAGGGAGCCGAGGTTTGGAGAACGGCATGTAGTGACTATAATTAGATAATACGCTGGGAGCGAGCGGACATCGTGCTTAAAGTAATACATTTCATAAATAAATGAAGGGCGGCCATTAATTCAAGGCCACACATCGTTTTTTTCCTGAAGTGGCTCCAGCCAGAGGAATAATAATTACCGGGATTAGGCAAGGATCTGAATATTCGGCCTTAAAGTACATCTCTAAGCACAACATTTGTTTCAGTTTTGGATAAAGAAGGGAAGGGTTAAACACCTTATCAGTTCTTTGGCGGTTTGTGACCCATTGGGGAGGTTTCCCTTGACTTCCTGTCCTGGAGACTCAACAGGAAGTGAGTGGATATCTCCTTTCTAGAGAACTGTCCCCAAAAAAGGTGTCCCCATGGGAAAAAATACCCTCGCTTTTTGTTCTTGTTCTAAAATGTTAAAATTCCCTCACTTTTGCATTTTCATGGCTGTGTAGACTAAGGCTACTTTAGAACTACCATAAACTATGTAGTACAAGGCCCCGCAGGATTTAAATAAATTGTTAGATTTGTCCTCATATCACATCGTTTTTGTAAAGCTAAAAGGAAATTGTACAATCAGAGTACATAGTGTATGGCAAGCTTAACTTTTGATGTTGACTTGCCCCACTAAATTATGTAAATCTGACTATTCGATTTGAGAGTCAGGGATTAATTGGCGGTCTACCTATAAACAATGCACAGAGCCACTTGCCCTGCAAATCTCTTTAAATGTATGTTCTGTGTAAACAGAGGCAAAAACAATGTTCTTAGTATATTTTCTTTTCAGGTCAAGTGTAATGTAATGTAATACTGCATAATACTTATTTTATACAACTAGTGGCCATAATGCGGCATTTCATTACATCTGACCTGAAAAGAAAATATATGACGTACCTTCATTTTTGCCTCTATTCGCACAGTACGAATATTCACAAAGGTTCACACGTGGAATGGCTCTGCAAATTGTTTATAAATAGACCCCCCATAAAGTTTGACAGTTGCTGCCCTGTTAACTGGTCGACTTCACGCAGTCTCCCGGCTCCCAAGGGTGCCTAACAGAAATAAAATACATGGTCCCTGATTTACTAAAAGGAGCAGATCATGTTCCTATTCAATGTGAATTTTCTTTCACCATGTCGCAAAAAACAACCATGCCTAAAATTGGCCACAGGTGACGCTTTAAAAGCTTTTGCCGTTCATCAATTTAGTGTTATCAGTGATTAATGGCCCTACAATTATTGCTCTCACTCCGACAGTCATGCCGATATGTAATATGTGTGTGGCGTAATCATCGTTTTTGCACGTAGGCATATTTACGTTTATAAGTGCATGCACGCGGGGGCGGGGGACCTAAAAACTTTTTTTGGGGTGTTTTTTTTTTAACACTTAACTTGATTGCTATCACATAGGGGGCTAAAAAAACCCCTATGTGATCGCCAATATACACTGACAGGTCCTCTTTATGGAGACATCAGGGGTCTCCAAGACTCCTAATGTCACCTGGGAACCCCCAAAGAAGCTGATGAAGCAGAGATCTGCTTCACCAGCTTCTTCTCTGGCTATTGCAGCCAGAGAAATGACAGCTAAAGGCGGAGGTGAGGTAATACACATCACTTCCGCCTTTAGAGAGAGGAGGAGAGATCAGCGATGGGGAATGCGGATCTCTCCTCCTTCTCTCTACTAGTAGCCGCTGTTCTCGGTCCCGGGCACTGCAGGGGGGACAGCGGTGCCCGGGGATTCACCGTCTGCCCGTAGTTGTACGATGGGCGGACGGCAAGGGGTTAAACTTTCCTTGTGGTTGCCAGCAGCCTGTTCAAAACGAATGAGCTGCCTTAACACAAGCACGGTTATGTGCAGAACAATGCACTGCAATGCAAAGGAAACGCCTTAACAGAGCCCTTGTTATTTTTTTTTCATGGCCTATACAGCTGGGGGCGTGGCAGGGTGTGTTTGCTCTACCCCTCATACTTTGTGCTAATAGGTGTCCCTCTTTCCCGTCTCAGGAAGGTGGGAGTCGAGCCCCAGTAACATCCGTCCCCTGCAGCCGTCAGACGCTTTGTTCTGTCTTGTAGATTTCAGTGAATCCCAGTGCAATGCAAAAAGCCGGATTTATGAACCAAAACACATGTTGCATTTAATTAGACTGCGCTGAGTAATCCCAGGTTCCAATTTATAGAGCATAATATGCAGTAACATCATACATTTGTTAATTCATTTATTCATGTTATGCTGCTTTCCCTCTGCTCCTCTGTGTACAGCTATTTATACGCAGGCAGAAACAAAGAGAGCGCCTGACTGGAAAGAAATGTTTTATAAAAGGGAGGGATGTTGTTATGCAAAATGTGAGAATCGTCTATAACTTGTAAATACATCTGTAGATATGTCTATTGCATATTCATGCTGCGCTTCCAGATAAAAAAGAAAGGCATGCTGTATTTGTAGATTGCATTTTGTATTCAGCTAAATGACTCGCAGGAGGGACACACTCCCTCTCCCTGTTTTAGTTGAGCACAGTCTGCCAAATGGCACACCGATATTGCCGGGCCGAATTGTTGTCTTTTTTATTCTAAAGATGTTACCACCCTTTTCTGGTCTTCACAATGTAAATGCCACTAACTAATGAGTCAGCAATGGAAGCTCCTTTATTCATGCTAATAGAAGATAAAGGAACAGCAGAATACTGATGAGGTCATCACTGAGCTCCCCCTCTCCCATTCACACCAATTGCGGTGCGTCCCAGAGCGGTAGCTGCTGGAACGCACAGCAATCACACACTTAAATCCCCTCTTCATTCTGGGGCAGGAGTGGGCGTGGCGGGGCATTGAAGTCAATGGCACCGCAGCCACAACTGCAAACGCAAAAAGAGTTGCATGCTCTATTTTTTAACCCAGGCAATGTTTTCCTACGCGTCTGATTGCACACACTGCAGGAGTTGGGGGGCTGCAGGGGGGGGTTCAATGCACCGCCACGCCCCCTCCTGCCCCAGAACAAAGGGAGACGTTTAGTGTACGATTGCTGTGCGTTCCAGCAGCTACTGCTCTGGGACGCACCGCAATTGGTGTGAAAGGGCCCTAAATGTGTTCAGACTGTTTGAGAGCAATGAAGCCCTGCTTGACTTTGGGTGCTGCCCCCTGCACTGTGCAGTGGATTACAAAAAGCCAAAATAAAGACAGGTTTAAGTACAGTAAACTCCCCGTTATCTGGCATTTACGGGGATTGGCAGATTCCAGTTAAATGTAGTTTCTGGTTGCTTGAGAGTTACTATTAAAAAAAGGTCTAACTAATGCCATACCCCATACTATACCATAGCAGAACATAAACTCTGTATTGACTTCATATTAATATTGAAATGCAATAATCAAAAGCAAATTAAGACAATAGACACACAACCATAATACATGCTGTAGATCAGCAGAACAGTGAGTACACAGGGGATTTTTTTTCTGGTTAGATGAGACTTCTGGTTAGTTGAATACCAGATAACGGAGAGTTTACTGTATTTCTATTTGTTTAATGAATACGCAACTGATCTGTTTCTATATCTGGCTGCAGTCAAATGTAAATCATATTTTCATGTTTAAACAAACATCTCATCAGACAGTCACTGGACAATGTGGTCACTTCTGTTGCCCTCAGAATGCTAATTATCAATTCACAGTACCTGAAAAGTGAGCATAGAAGCCATGCAAAGATTTCCTAATGACCAGGACGTGGAAGAGCTCAGATTGAGGGTCAAAAGAAAATGTACCTTATAATGCTCAAGTGCATCCAAAGCCAAGACATGCCCCTCCGGGGAGTAGATACACAAGGCTGCTATCAGCTCAAACACTTGTTTTTTCACCATCACATTGGATGTGTCCAGCGCTGTATAGAAAAGAAATACATTCAGATCATGGTAGGGTAAGACCAATAAACAGGAGTAATAAATCACATGTGTCCTTTAAAAAGCTTCTATAACAAGGAGTTGTTGGGAGGGATCTAGTGTCTACCCAGAACATCCCTCTAGGTAGCATCCACTGGACCAATTTGGCAAAGTTGGGTTGTATGATAATGTTGAAACAGACTGGAAGAACCCATCGGGGTCTATATACATACAACTTACAGCTCCATTCACTATGTGGATCTATGAGAGTATTTGCTCTGTGAAAAAACAAATGTTCTTTGTATGTTTTCTTTTCCGGTCAAATATATTATTTGGGAATCTCTCATTATGGCCACTAGATGTAGCTGAGGATCATAGGAAATAGACCGCAGGGAGGTCTATTGATAAACAATTTGCAGTGCTATTCACTATGTGAATCTCTGAGAATGTTTGCTCTGTGCCAATAGAAGCAAAAACGAACGTTCTTTGTATATTTTCCTTTCAGGGCAAATGTATTATTTGTAAAATACCCCATTATGAGCACTAGAGGAGCATTAGAAATAAATATTTATTTACGCCCATACTTACACCCATAAGTGTGCATGTGTAAATGCTGGTACTTGCGTTTACACGTGTATCTGATACAGGGTATTGTATCCATACAATCCTATTGACACAACAGCTGGGACTACCGGGCACCGAATATACTGGTGTATTTTCCGCTGAATGGACATAAACCTGCATCTGCGTCCATGGGAATGAGCCCTTACTGTGGCATGGTGGGTACTTCAAGTGTTTGTTACAGCAATCTATCGTTTCACAACAAGGCATTTCAATTGCTGTTCTCAGGACATGCGCTAGAGCCTTGGTTCTCAACTGGTGGGTCGTGACCCAAAAGTGGGTCGTGACCCCATGTTCAGTGGGTCGCCACATGCCTTTTACTTTTCTAAGTGAGAGGCTCCTCAGCCTCCTCCTAGCGCAGCACTGTCAGTTCTTGCGCGCCAAACAGCCATTTAAAATATGCTGCCCGGTGCAGAGTGTCAGCTTGAGGTGGGATGGACTGGGGCTATGGCCATGAGGAGTGCATCCATATGTACAGCTCCCTCATGTGTCCTGTAGAGGTGCCTGGACCGGAGTAATGTCACATTCTGGCTCCTGGCACCTCTACAGGGCATGCAAAGGGAGCTGTACAAGCAATGCACCTATGGATGAAGCTCTGTCACAGTACAGCAGCCCACAATGGACCCCAGGCTGAGGATCAACTCCAGTTCTTGTAAGGTATGGAGACTGGGTGGATCTTTTGAATGGTACCCCAAACGCACCTCCACCCCACAGTTCGATTGCTTAAAATGCGCGGGAACGCAGTATTGTGTGTTCCATTGCAGTGCGACTTGGGTCGCGACTTAATGACCAAGAACAAATGTGGGTCCTGAGGTTACACAGGTTGAGAACCACTGCGCTAGAGCACCATCCAGGGCACATGGCACTCATCCAGGCACCACCTGAGCCTAGGCGGGTCACTCATAATGGAGGGGCTTCAAATATTGGATCACCCGGCTGTCACCTTGAATGTTCCCGCTTCCCAGTTGCTCCTCTGTGACTGGCTAAGTGGAGGAAGTTTAGGGGCTGCCCATGGGGGCGGAAGACTTTGGAGAGCCAATAAACTTGTATGCAAGACCTTTTTGTTGCAGGCTGTACAATGGAAGACCTTGAGGGCTTTGGCTACAACCCATGCTGCAGAAAATAGCCCAATGATCACAAAAGTGGTGGCATCAGTGTGAAAAGATGCAAAACCTATGTGTACCGGAAGTAGTCTCATTCAAGGAAGAAGATGGTGACCCCGAATGATACCTGAACAAATATGGTGTTGTCCCTCTGATAAGAAAATCAGATTAAGGCATTGTCATGGGTAGGGATGAGATCAGGTCGGCCCAAACCCGGCGCTAACCTGAGCTCTTCCAAAACACAGAAGGAAGCTGGGCATAGGCCTGCTCGTCCAATCAGCTGTGGGCCAGGGTATTTCCTGCACCACAGCTGCAAGTTTGCAAAGGAGCTGGATGCAGTGATGTCATTGAACTTATATGGCCACATGGCTATGTTTGGTTAATGGCATTGATCTACTATGGTCATGTGGTCACGTTAGGCCAGCACAAGCATCTTTTTTGTATGCAGGGAGGGCAGGGAATGCCCTAGCATGCAGCTGATTGGGTGGATGGCCCCATGGCATTTCTGGGTTCAGAAACTCAGGTACAAACTTGAGCTCATCTCTAATGATTGGGAGTACTGTGCATGCATGCAAACTATATCTGATGCTAGGTCCTCTGTAATGATGCATTATATAGTTTAAGGTTGGATGGGGAATATAGATGGAATGGCATAGGAACAAGACAAGGTTCATAGGAGGAAGGATTACCATGCCACGTTTCAAAACACATAACTACCAAAGTTCTCTAATCTCACCTTGAGAAAGCTTTCTGACATAACCGTCATTATTGACAATATACTCGATCCCCTTATGGGAATTCATTAGCGTTCGGACACAGTTGATGCAAGTGAGCTGGAGGAGTGCATCAGAGATCCTTGACACTCCTCTGCCTGACAGTCTGTCAAGGGCCTCAAGCAGAAGATCCAGACCACTGAGCTCCAGGAACTGCACCATCCATTGGTCATCGCTGCTCTCCAGTCTCTTCTTCAGGCCAGAATAGTTCACCACGGATGGGATTTGGAGAAGACGAATACAAAGTTCAGGATCTGCATTCTCTAAGTTAGCCTCGCTCTGGTCCTGCTCTTGGGGGGAGAGCTTCTCCTTTAGGCTCACCCATTTCTTATGGGCTCCTTCTTTGCTTAGAGACATTTTTGGCAATTTTTCCTATGGAGAGAAGAGACACAAATACATGTTACAGTCGTTATGAATATCTCTGTTATAGATTTTCATTATAAATATAAAGTGGGCATACTTCTTCTATGTTCATGGCCTGCATTCTAACCAATACTGTAGCACAGAGGATGTTCCTGGTTGCACTTGAAAGAAGAACTCTGGGCAGAAAAACACTTAACCCTGCAGTGGGGCTACCCCCACGCTGAAAGGGTTAAGTGCTCCTTTTGATATAGGGTCTAAAATAACAAAGTTATACTCAGACAAACCTCAGTCCTGCCGGGCTGCTAGATCGGTCCCTGCAGCCTCTTCCTCTTTGCTCCACCTGTCTAGGAGCTCGTGAGTCACCACGTCCAATACAGTGTATTGGTCATGAGCACACCAATGGTTATTCCATCGCTGGAGCAGAGGGAAAGAAAGGCTACAGGGGCTGGTCTAGCAGCCAGGTGGGACCAAGGTTTTGATGAATATCACTTTGTTATTTTAGACCCTATACCAAAAGGAGCACTTAACCCTTTCAGTGTGGGGGTAGCCCCACTGCAAGGGTTAAGTGTTATTCTGCCTGGAGTTCCCATTGGTTGAATGCCATTCGGGTCTGGGACCCTCCGCTTTAGTAATATATGTATATGGATCCCAGACTCGAATAACACAGACTGAAAAACACATCTGATTGGCCAGAAAAGTCACATGTCCGATTCAGTTTTGTTTTTGAACAAAATATGGACAGGATCTGAAATTCGTAAACAGAAATTCGGACACATTCGGATGCATTGGGATTCGGAAGTTCGGATGTGTCCGAATGTCTGAATTTTGGAATATTGGAACGAAACAAATCGCACATGTCTAGTGCTCTGTAATGTATCACTGTGTAGCCGGAGTACTATGTGCACTTTACCAATTGAAAATCGATACTTGAGATTAGGGTTGCACAGATACCAAGTGCAGTACTCGGTACAAGTACGAGTACATGTACAGATACTTGTGAGCTCCAAGACTACACTAGAGAAAAATTCAAAAGTTAGGAGGCAGCTGTCATTTGTAAGGAGCACACGGAGCTCCTGGGATTTGTATATCTCGGTTTTAACGTACGATTTTGTTTTTATAAATATAAATAAATTGATGCACAGATACCAGTTTTACGAGTACTGGTACTTGCCGAGTACTTACAAGTACGAGTACTGATACATTTTTGTTTATTGTCATGTGACAGTTTTTCTAAAACAATACAGACTAATGATTTCAGGACAGTGGTGGAGTGCCAGAGCCAGGTCCCAGTTGCAACCGCTGCAACCCTGGTAGTGCTCATGAAAATGCCAAGTATCTGCACTGGTACTCGAAAAGTATCTGTGCATCCCTACTTGAGATGCATACGCCAAGCGCAGCCTACATGTTCAAGGTGTCATTCATGCATAGCTGTACTGCATCAGCCCACGCTGCCCATTTTGTCTTTTATCTAGTGATCTGAGAACTCCTTTTTCCTCCCTTTTTATATTGCAAAACTGTTGTTCCAAAACACACCCACTGCAGGTCCTTTGCTGCCTCATTCACTTTCACAGCATTAATTGTTTACAGAGAGTACACTATAGTTTCCCTGGAAGCGGCATGTTAACTTTCCATATTATGTTTTATTGCAGGGGTGGGCAACCTGCGGCTCTCCAGGGTGGAACTACAAGTCCCATGAGGCATTGCAAGACTGACAGTTACAGGCATGGCTCCCAAAGGCAGAAGCATGATGAGATTTCAAGTTAAAGCACAGCTGGCCTGGAGGACTGGAGTTGCCCACCCCTGTTTTATTGTGCCTTAGCTCACCCGACCCGTGAGAAATTTCTTTGCATTCGAAAAGTATTTTCTTTATCTCTGGCTTAGTGGGCCATGACGTTATGCTTGTAGTTTCAGCCTGACCCTGAGCTCAGCACAGACCGGCACACAGACCGCGTATTGTCTTGTAACAATCGCTGTGTATTTCCATGCCATTCCTTCCATGATGGTCAGCAGCGGCCAAATCACGCAGCTGTTACACGCGGCGCTGACTCCGCCAGATCACATTCTTGGCAGCGCTCTCTAAGGTGGCCATACACTTTACAACCATCGCAAGACCTTAGTCTTGCGATGGTTGTAAAGTAATAAAAAAAACGTACGATCTGCCCATCTTGGACAGGCAGAATGTACTTGCGATCATCGCAAGCCCGTGCCCCTGAGGTGCGCGCTTCCGATGACCACAATGCTGAACGGGCAGTGTGCGCGTGCGCACACCGGCCTGTTCGGCATTTGTCTTCCGAGCATGCTCCTTAGACAAAAGACGTGCGACTGTACAGTAAAAACGGTTGCACGCCTGCCATACACTTTGCGATTATCGTATGATCGCGGGATTTCCCGCGATTATCGTGCGATAATCACACAGTGTATGGGCACCTTTAGACAAAAGCTGAAGTTAAATCTGCTTATATGTTGCCTTCCCTGGTTCCTTCCTCCCCCCTCATCATCCTGCTAATTCATTTTTTAACCCAAACCTTTCCATTTTCATTACATACATCACATGTCTCTGCACTTCTCTATGCAATGCAGGCAGATCATAGCTGGTGGGAGGGTCCGGCAGGGGGCTGTACATCGCTTGCTGAAACCATCACAGCACCCGGCCTCAGTACTGCTCTCAAGAGCTCTGATGCAAGCAGTGGACAGGTTCTTGAGAGGAGTTACGCAAATATTAATATGCCTTGATGGACGGGCGTCAGTCTGGAGGACCACCCTAGGTAATGTCCACATGTGATGCTGAGCCGCCATGATGAAATGAAGTGAAATCCAATGAATGAACAAGGTGGCCAGGGACCATAAGGCTGGGGAGAAAAGAGCCAGATGCTGCTAGATCCCCTGAAAACTACTTTAAAGGAGAACTATGGGGTCAGTGTTTTTCCCCATAGTTCTCCTTAGGGTAACGGGAGGACACAAACTAGCGTCCTCCCGTTACCCTAAGCTCAGTATACCGCGAGCTACAGCTCGCGGTATACTGAAACGCCGCAGCCGGAGCGGATCCCGACATCGATGTCGAGATCCACCCAGTTGCGTGAGTGACAGCTAGCTCTGCCTATCTAGAGGCAGAGCCAGCTGTACCCGCCCCCTCCCCTGACCGTTCCGCCAGTCAGCGCTGGCGGATCGGAGCGGTGAGAGGGGAATCCAGCCCCTCCCCTGTCACGGCAGAGAGCCGTGACAGGATCGAGAGGTGAGCGAACGCCGGTGTCTGTTCGCTCACCTCCCGATCTACTGAGCCGACCTGTGACAGTGTCAATGTCACAGGTCGGCTAGAACTATGAGGTGAGTGGAAATCACTCATCTCATAGTTCTCCTTTAAGTAGTTTTCAGGGGATGTCCTATGTAAACTATAATCACAAGAAAAAACCCAGCTTTGTGAACTTAGCCTGATGGTAACCAACTATACAACTGCTCTACTGTGATAAGGACTTTTATTCATCCGGAACTCTGGCAGCCATGTTTAATATCAATTGAAATGAATAAAGGTCTCATTATTTGTAGATTCTTGGTTCTTCATGCTCTTGCTTTGTCCTTGTCCTACGGTGTCATTGAAGTTTTCACAGGAAGGAAATAATGAGTGGTTTCCGTACAATGGCTCGCTTAGATAATTCTCTTATTGATGGCTGATGTCAACAAAGCTGGATGGAACTGGATGAATAGAAACTACAACATGCTATGAAACATCCAGCTCGTTCTGGTCTAAAGCAAACAGCAATTAAGTCCTCATCCTTCCCCCAGAGGACAGCAAAGTCTATGTCCACCTATCTGATATGCTCTGTTAATGAGAATGTGTATTCTTTTCTATGATCTTTAGATACCGTGTTTCCCCAAAAATAACACATTGTCTTATATTTTTTTGGGCTCAAAAAAACACACTAGGTCTTATTTTCGGGGTAGGTCCTTTTTTTTTATTTTTATTTTTATAATGTACAACAATCCACACTTTTTCATGTAGAACAGTTTACATGTATTCATGTACGAAAATATGGTGATCAGGGCAATCGGGGGTGCCCTACCTTTCCAAGAGCAATTTGCTAACCAATTGCTGGCCAGAATGAGCGAAGCACGCTTTCACTATCGATTCCTCACAGGCAGAGTGCACTTGGTATCACTCCGCCTGTGACAGGAGTCGGCGCTATAGAGGAAACATTTGCAAAGTGTTTATTTTCGGTAATACTGGTCACTTTGACAGATGATTCAAGCTTATGCTTGCGTGCCAGCAGAGAAGGCCCCACATGCCGTAGGTGCGCCATCGCTACTATAGACAAAGCTTTCTCTGGGGTCTATCCTGGAAAACTCTGTACACAGATACAGTACAAGGCAAAATTTAAGAGTGAGATCAAAGATTAATTTTATATAAACATTGCAATAATAACTCAAAATATTGGCTAACAGGAAATACAGTATTCTTTCCCTTTGAAGGACACCTCCGTGAAAAATATGGTCGACCAACAAACCTCTAAGGTGATAGGGACTACACCAGGGACTACAGCAGCATTTTATTGCCACGGGAGTCCTCGAGAGTTTGAAGAATCCAAACAGTAACTAGATCTACCAGGCTTCACCTAGAACTGAAATATGTGGGTGAAGTGCACCTTCAGGAACAGATATCTACAGGTTTAGCTCAGTACTAGGGTTTTGAATGCTGTGTCCGGGTTTCACGGCAGCTGAAACTTGGACAAAGAGGTCAGGCAGACGGGGGCAACCAAAATTAAGATAAGGGCTATTGGCTCCCCCACTGAAAATAGTCTCAACTGTGATATTTACATATGAATGGGCAGCGCTATTTACATATGAATAAGCCGCGACTCATTCTCCCAAAAAAAATATCCGTGCGTCGCTAGAGTGTTTGGGTTTCGCTGGAAGAAAAGGTGGCAACCCTGCTCAGTACACACTGCAAAACTTTAAGCAGTTAAAGCAGAACTGAAGCCAAAAGTTTTTTTGGGGGTTTTGGATTTGCACTCTGT